TTGAAGCGACATTTTTTTTGCAAGTTATTTTGTACTTTGTTATTTATATCCATTTGTGAGTTTGTATAAGCTATTTGCCTTTGTACTAGAGTATTTTAGAGTACAGAGAGGTTATTGGTATCTTCCAAAGAAGCCGAGTCCAGAGAGGACTGGATTTCTTTGTTGAGTATAGAGTTTTTTCGTTTCTTTGAGCTTGTTTGCTTTATCTTGTCTATTGGATATAATGTAGTAGGTTGGTCTGATATCGTAGACCTAGATTTTTTATAGTTATATAATAGAGCTCTTGTAGGCACAGTTGTTTTGTGTATATTTTCTTTTCCAATTAATTGGTTTAGTGATCTACGGGAAAGAGTTTCTCAACAACTTATAAAATTACATAATCTCCCTATTTAAAAAATTAGATAATGTTAAGTAATATTAAATAAGAATACATAATAAATTTGCCTATCTCTACTTCAGAGACATATGGTTTAACAGTCACGAGTAATTTCAATTGATTGAGAAAGAATCAGTAAATTTTTACGGTTCTTTCTCACAACCAGGTGATGATAATTTAACTATCATGTGAACATAAAATATAACGGTTTTATAATAAATATTATATGACAATAAGACAAATACTAGAACTACTACTATGAAGGCTTTGAATGTACTTGATTAGTTACTTTATTTTGATTTATGTTATCCATATGTCGCTAATAATTTTTGAAATAAAAAAAAAGAAAAACTAATAAAGTATTCGAAGTTACATGGTAAAGAAAATAATAAAAACTATTAATTTTTTTTTTAAAAAAAGTCAGTTTATATTCAAAAATAGTTTGTTGAACTTATTTGGATTTAGGTACAGATGGCAGTGGACAAAATTCATCCTTTTTTGTAGGATCATGAATATAGTTGCGAATTTGTTCATACAGGTACTATTGCCATGCTAGAGTTAAAGATTTTGTCAAAAGGGAAACAAAAAGATTTGGTGAAGAGAATAAATCTATTTTATTTTGTTTTAATAATGTGATTTCTGTTATTTTATCACTGATTGCTGATTTTATTTCTACTTTTCTAGGTTTTTCTAATGAAATAATAAAATGATATTGTTTTGAAATTTGTGGAATATTTCCAAATAATTCATTCAAAATTTCATCCTATTTATAAAATTTAACTTGTTGAACACCATTTGAATCATAAACTGTTTGTGCTGTATTATAACCACCAACTGTAGAATCCTAAACAACTCAAATCATATCTGCCAAGTTATCAACCTCACAATGCTGAAGTTTTAACTTAATGAGCTCAAAGAATCTATCTGAAGAGAATTTTGTATGGCCAGCTACCATGAATAAGTATATAATTCATTTATGCAAACCATTTAAAACACGCCACATTAAATATTTTATCATCGCGTTATTTTTGTTTTGCTCTGAGCAATTATTAGTATGGATAACAACATACTTTTCCCCAAGGCTGTGATTCTCAAAATAATGGTGAATCATTGAGATAACAGCATTAGCACCTTTTCTAACATCCTCACTTTCTTTAATTAAATAATTTTTCTAAAATATAAATTTACTTAATAAATAGATTTTTAATTAACTGGTTAAAATCATAAATACCTGCTGCAGAAAAGCATTCTCACATATTTCGAAGATTGAAACTTTATATAATGATTTGAAATAGATAGATCCCTAAAAAAAAAAAAAAAAAGAGGTCTAGTGATCTTAGTGTAGTGGTTAGGTTGCCAGACTACCATGCAAGAGGTCTGGGGTTCAAATCCCACTGTCGACGAATTTAAATAATTACCTGGACCTTTGTACCCAACTTACGGTAAACTCTGTTCGTTTCTGGAGTTGTAACCCTGTAAATTACATTGCACCTATATCATCCAGATATTGGAAGTGTGACGAGGCATTTGGTGAGATGTAATATTACCTGAATAAATCTTGATAGGATCTACGAGCAGTGGACCTGCATAGTAGAAATCCCGAGTTAGTGAAGTAGTATGGCTTTTGATTGTCACACTGGCTAACGCTTGATCCAGAAAAGAAACTATCGATGAAAAATGCAGATCGAGTCAGGTGCGCATAAATCCAGTTTACAAGGAGAATCAGTAACACCAACCTGGCTTGGCGGCTAACTGGATTGAGAGGATTTGCTTTGTAAAACATCCAAGAAGATAGATACAGAAAACTGGTAGAGAGCTATGGTAGGAACTGGAGTTGTACAAACATCTACAAGGGTCTAAGCTAGATGAATCCGTAAAATAGGTACAGACCACTCTAGTAGGTATGCTTCGAGATTAACTGGCTCTGCGGTGCTAGCAATGTGTCTAGTATAATGTATCCTAAGAGGACCTAAGCCGTTCTGAATAAATAGATCTGTAACGAGCTAGCTAGCTTAAGCGGTTAGATGTTGCGGTGACATTAGGTTGGATCTGTATGGGTTAATGAACAGAGTGTTTAAATAGGTAACTCACAAGCAGGTTACAGATATGGCAGCATAGTGTAGAACCAATTGGGTGGTCTAATCGCCTATGCGGCAGACTACTTAAATTAGACAATGACTAAAGTTGTACATGTGGCTTGTTGTACACTCTTCATGTAATTACAAACAGTAGGGACTATTAATGTATATCCCGTATGCAATTCTAATAAAATTCCTTCGGCAATGTAAGCCGCCTTAATAACAAAAAAAAATAAAAATAAAAAAAAAAATAAAAAAAAAAAAAAAAATTTAATACGAGTAACTCCCCATATAAGAAACCTTTAATATAAGAAATTCTTAATATAACACGTTATCTCATTACTGTTATGTCCACAAAATCACATACTATCGATAATTATAATGGTTAAATAATACATAGAAAGCACTATTCATTATATTGAATTTTAACCAGTGAATGTGATTATAATATTTTTATTATCAAATTATATAATTATACTTTCTGATATATTTGTTAAGAGTGAATTATAAATTGTCAAGATTATAAATTATCTGAATTATAATTTGTAAAATTTCAGATTGAATCAGTAATATTTATTTTTATTTTTAAAATTTGTAAAATTCTCTTAGAATCGAAAAATCGCCTAATTCTCCATAATTTTACATAGCATCATGGTCTGCAGAGGTTATACCTTTTTGCAAAACTGTAATAAAAAAGTTTACTACGTATAGAGATGTACCTTGCGTGAGGTAATATTAGCATTTATTTATACATCTCATACAAGGTTACATTACACGAATTTAATATTTCAAAATTAAAATTAAGAAATTTTAATTTCTGGTTTACTAATTATTAAAATTACCCTGTGTAAAATTGATGTCACTTTGCGCAAGATGCATAAAGTCGCATATATGAGAATTTTGTACCTTGTGCGAGATACATCTCTAGTTCACTAATTTCATGAAATAGGTGTCAAAATATTTATATAATACACCTATTTGTTTCTGAAATACACTTTTTTTTTTAATTTTGAAACCACTCAATACATATTTTATAATAATAATTACCTCTTGTTGTGAAGAAAAAGGAAGATAGACAGCTTTAGCAAAGTCCCACGAAATGTGATTTTCAAAATCTAGAAAACTTGGTATTCCTAGGCATAAGAGACAGATAGGTTATTAAAAAATCTTAATTGTTGTTTTGTGTTAAGCATACTGTGCTTAAGATTTAATTAATATAAAATAAAATAATTACTATAAAAAGATGCCTATTATTACAAATAAAAATTGGCGCATTAAGAAAATTTTCACTCAGGTATATAGGATCTTTGCTAGAAAAATCATCTATCGGAATTTTCTGAACATGCCAATTTAGAAAGACTTAGACCAGAACACTAGTTCTTATTTATATGCAAATCATCTTTTACCTTACTAACATAATAGTTTATTAAATAAACTATTGCATCAATAAAGATAAAAGATGATTTATATATAAATAAGAACTGGCATTCTAGTCTAAGTCTTTATGAATTGGCCTATTTGGAAAATTCTGAAGGGTGATTTTCCTAGCAAAGATCCTATATATTAAATTGTCTAAGTAATGTTTAGAGGTGTAGGTACAATGCTGTAATTAGTTATAACTATAGTGAATTACGGCAAAAAAATGCTATATATAATTTATTTAATTATGACTAATTACAGCATTATCCAATCTCTAATTACAGGTTATCTTATTTGTAGTATTCTCGTTCTTGATATGCTCAATTAATATAGTTATTCCATTGTTGAATATTTTGGTCTCGTTCACTTTCTGTTCAGAATTGAGCTTTAAACCGCATATTTTTACAAAGTATGTATAAATCATTTCGCGAGAATAAAAAACAAATTTCTGGTACATATTTTTTCCAAATTCGTACAAAGGACCATCAACTAATATTAAAATCAGAAGTTGAGTCTAAACTTGATTGATAAATATGATATAATCCGGTATAACTTTCATTTGCAGGAAGATATGTAATAACTATAGTATCTTCACAAAAGTGGCAATCTAATAAAAATTTTTTTATTATACATATATTGTTAATTAAATATATTTTTATTTATAGAAAAATTGATATATCAAATATATGGTTATATTGTTATTGCTATAAATAACTAATACGTAGCATTAAAAAAAATTCTACATAAGCTTATAAAGAAAAACAAAACTTCAAGCAAGCTTATGTCATTTTAAACTTATTTGATACGTATAATAGTAACTACTGCTGAACAATAATAGCGATATTGTATGAAGTCAAAAAAAATTAATATGATAGTATGGATATAAATTAGTGAACAAATCAAACATCTTTAAAATTTACTGATATTTTTTTTTTATTCACTATATGATAACTTATAAATATTAATTTACCTGGTGATAGCAACTAATGTCAATTTGCATAATTGATGATAAACGTAAGAATATTTAAAATAGTTGTAAATGACAAAGCATGATAAGATCTTCTTTCTGAAAGTGCATGTATAATTGGCTTAATACCATTATCTCGGTAATGATTACAAATTGTTTTCTACTTTTTATCAGACATCGAATATATAGTTAAAAAAGCTTTTTCACAGATTTCACTATCGTTAAAGGTATATTTAACAGTTAAATATTGTTTTTCTTTATCTTTTGAATGGACCATTATATGAAGCATTCCTAAAATAAATAAATTATACTCAGTTTTTGATAATTTTCGAATACTATCAAATGTTTGAAATGCAAATTCATGATCAATTTTAGTTAAACACTTCTTGGTTTTACAGCAAATTAATGTATAAAGTTTAGAAAAAAAAGCTTCTTTTTCCTGCTGATCTAGAAGATTCGTTAATTTTTCATTAATTTCTCGCTCTTCATTATTTTCATCAATAGGATGTTGAGCAAATATTCTTTGAAATTTTTCAATTTGTATTGGTGTAAGAATTTGATTATCAAATTGTCTTATTTCTTGATTATCTTATCCCTTAAATTGTAACACAGGCAAATTTGCTTGCGTCTACTTTTAATTTTTGTAATTTTTAAAATAAAACCTTAAATATTAATTTTAAATATATACTTTCTAAGTAAAATATATTTTTTAGTATTTATTTTAACAACTTTGTTAAGA